ATTCTACAGAACACCTAAGCCTTAACTTCACTAATATTGCCAATCCTTAAAACCTTCAGAAGTCAAACTTTTTCTCATAGCTCCCAATTTGTAGGAAATTCTATCCTTGCTACAAAACTAAACACACTTGGGAAGCACGTACCCTGAAGACGTCTGACCTCTGCATCAAGGCCATCAGGGAGAGGTACCCCCCGTAGGACCAGCCATGAATGCCCACGCGGTCCAAGTCGATGAAATCATATCGGGAAGCCAGGTACTGGAGTCCTTCCACTTGATCGTCAATTTCTATCTGGCCCTGTTCAAAAATAGGGAAATGTTTTTATTAGCTGATTCTAACCAATAAAGATCTCATTATAAAAGTGCTTATAAAGCTAAAATATATTTTTACTAAAGGGACCTGTAGGTTGCTTAGATGGAAATGTATTTATCAATTGAAATTCTACTGCTGAAAGAATTTTTAAAAACCTATTTAGAGACAGGGGCCTATATCTTCCATTGCTAGCCTGTCTTTAGATAGAATTTAATTACCTCTCAGTCATAAAGTTCTTTTCTATTCCTACCCAAACTATCCCTTACTGTAATCATTTCCATTTGTTCTGTTGTCTGCTAAGGGGCCAGCATCTTCCTTGCAACAAGCCTTCACATACCCAGAGGGGAAAAAACAAGCCCCCTGAATTGGTTTACTTATTGAACTCTTCCTTTTCCGTACTTAGTAAAGCAGAGGGATCTCTGTTGGAACCGGTCCTCTTTATGCCTCTCATACTACCTCTAGGAAGTGAACATACTATTTCTTTAAAGTCTTATTAAGTTCTTAGTCCTAAACCACTACCCTGTCTGTATTACTCAGCCTGCCAGTGCACATAACCTTACTTCGCTGAGCCTAAAGCAAAAACAAAACCAAAAAACTTACATGAGAACACAACATATGATCAAAGAACTGGCTGTGGGAGAAACCCCCATGTCTTACTCAGCATGTCCAATACACTGGCAAACACAGTAGCTGCCTTACTGTGCAAAAGGAACATCGGATTCTCATCATTTCCCAAAGCAGCAGAAGGGACATGGGGCATCTCTAAAAGGTAGCATTTAAAGCTTCCTGCAGAGAGAAAGAGGCTTGTCACAAGGAAGGCACTAAAACCAGTTGGTTTCTCTCTTCACAGAGGACAGAACAAATCTCTATTATTCTTCTCAGTAGGGCACAGGATGCTGAAAACTACACTGTGGCCTTCTGGCTAAGCTGAACAGACAGACAGACAGAGAAGGGGCACGTCAGCTCCAGAGTGACAGCAGGGAGATGTGAGCTGGCCTCCCTAGAGTTCGGAGACAGCTTCCCCTCCCTCCCAAGCTCACCCGACATGACACGCATGCTCACTCACAGCCCTTCTTCCAGCCCTCTCTCTGGGGGGCTCACAGCAAACAATGCAACAGAAAATGGGATTTTAAAAAACGTTTTTTTTAAAGACTCACACACCATTTTATATTTAAAGGCGCCTTCAAATTTAAGCCCTCGGTGACAGGATCCCCTGTTGTCTATCACCACAACCACGTAACCCAGAGAGGCCAGGGTATTCAGGCGGAAATATTTGACTCCTTTAAACCGATTATTCACCAACTGTACCTGAGGAAGAAATACAACTTGAGTGAAGTCCATTATATGGTGAGCTCACGAAAGCACAAAGGTGAGGCAGGATTTTGCAAAAAAGTAGAAAACTTTTATTTTTCTGTGTGGTTATTTTGTCTTTTAATATCATTTTTAAGTGATTCATTTTTAAAATAATGTAAATGTTTCTCACATTAAGTTGCTGCTTACATAACTCCACTCTCAAAATGTAGGACAATTACTTAATGATTACAGACTTTTACATACAAAAGAATTACATTCAAGAGAATCAATCTACCCAGTAGAAAAACTTACAAAAATAATTACTTCTACTTTGAAAAATAATTCTCGTTCTAGTGAGAGATAATAAGATCATCTTCCCTCTAGTCCACAGTTTATCAAAGTTATTTGACTATCACCTCTAGCCTTCTCCTAACAATGAAACATTTTTGTACCATAGCCCATAATCCAGGATAAAGTGTAGGTATCTGCTTTTGCAGGCACCCTGGATGGTCCCAGCGCCTGCCCGCCTTCACCCTCCACGGGTGGTATCGCCCCTAAGGGCTCTAATTCACCTTCTCTGAGTTTGCTTCTAACTAGAGATGGGGCTATTCATGAGACACGGCGCCCGCTCTGCTTTCCTCTGTCCCGTCATACCAGTCATGGGGATGCAACAGGGTAATTTTAAAATCACTTTATCACCTTAAAAACTAAACTTCAAAATGACTGAGAAATGAAATGTGCTTTCATGCTTCACTAGACTGTGCATGGTGAACAGGAAGCTTAAAAGTTCAAATGCTGATGGGCATTAAGATAGATGTTTTATGAAAAAAAGGTTTTGAAAAACGAGGAAGAAAAAGTTGTCTCTGGCTGAAACCAATGGAACATTATTACACCAGCTAGACGTTAGGAAGAATCAACACCGCTATTTTCACAAGAACAACAAAACACATCTACGGAATGTTTACTGGGCTACTTCTGCAAGGGATAAAAGAGCCCTTTCTCTCTGCACGTTTGGATGTTTAGCACTACCGCAACAATTGCCAAACGGCCCTTCCCACTTCCATTCTCCCTCTCCTACAGTCTGTTACTCGCAGGCAGTGATTTTTGTTAAAAAATGTCAATCAGATAAGACTTTGCTGTCTGGCTCCCTCCAACAACTACCGTTTTTACCTTTAAGAATGTCTAAACTCCTTACCACAGCCTTTGAGACTCTGAATTATATGGCCTTTGGGTATCTCCTGACTACCTTTTAGTCTCTTTCCCCCTTGCTTGCTATACTCTAACCAAACTGGCCCCCTAGTCATACACTAAAGCAAGATGGTTCTCCCCACAGGGTCCTTCTATTAACTATTACCACTGTAAAGAATCCTCTCCCCGTAGGCCTTAAGGTGGCGCCTTTCCTCTGTCCTGTGTACCTTTGGAGAGGTCTTCCCCTGGACTGTCCTATTAGGATTACTCCCCACTCACCCAAGTAACTTTGCTATTCCTCTCGTTAGCTTATTTCTTAATTTTATCTGAAGCTTGTATCACTTACGAGAGGAGGCTTCATAAAGTTCACAGAAAAATTCTATTTTTATCTTTTAATTCCATCTCCAATTAACTTTTTGAAGGCCCCCACCCCACCCTTGCATGTCCATTTGTTAATTACATGCCCTATTAAGCTCCACACGGTTGGACTTTAGTCTGACTTGTCACTGTGAAATCCTCACTGCCTAGAATATCACCTGACACATGAAAGGGCTTCAAAATTGTGGGAAATTGAATGAATGAAAAGGTAAAGCAATATTTTCATTAACTTTTTGGAGCCCCCTTGACTTGTATTAGAAACTCAATAACCATTTGCTTAATGAATAAATCAAAAATTGAGATTAAAAGAAGGATGCGGCTGTATCTTTCCTTGGGAAGAGGTCGTCTGATGGGCAGAAGTACTTGTTTATAAAGGGAGGAAGCTGAGAAAAGAAATACTAGGCCCAGAAGAACAAAAACTCTGGCGCATTTGAAGAAAATCACCTCTTTTTTGGGTCTGCTTTCGAGCACAGAATCCATGCCCTCTTACGGAGTCAATGCTGAGTCACAGCACCTGGACAGGGCTGGAGAGGGCTGGCCAAAGCTACATGCTTTACAGATATAGAGTAGGCGACAGGTTCACACCACCGCCGTGTTAGTTAGCAGTGTTTTAACCACTGTCCCACCAGGGTTCATCTCAAGCAGTTCAATAGGCTGATAGGAACTTTCCCCCACAGTCAATGGTTCAAGTTTGTGGCCTGGGGGCCTGTTGCTTCTGGAAGAAAGTACTTACACATGACACCCTTCGTCAGACAAAGTCTCCGTGGGATCAGTTCTTTTAGTCTGTGTCCTGCAACCACCACGTCTGCTCTCTTATGCATTTGCATGGCATGTAGGAAGGACCACACATATTTGGTAAACATTTAAAAGACAACAGCTATTATTAATGGAGAGTTTAAAGATTTAAGTCTTAAAGACTTCAATGGGAAAGATTTGTTGCTTTTCTTGGGTTTCTTGTATTTTACACTCTTCTGCTATACAGAATCGCTTTGTATTTAGTGATAACACAATTCATTTCAGATTCTCACTTTCTTTGTTGTTGCTGCCATTCTTATAATTGCTGTCTTTGAATCCATCTCGTGGAGGGTCCTCCTCTTTTCCACAGACTCTCTACCAAGCATGGTGTCCTTTTCAGTCTCTCACTCTGACCCAGAGTTTCTAACTACTTTGAAGAGCTTCAGTCCTGGCATGGCCCATAAGCATATGCTCTGCACAACCACCAAATCTTTTGTGCTTGCAAGTGGGATTTTGACCCAAGTAGGAAAAAGGCAGTCTTCCCACTGCAAGGTGGCAACCAAATGAGCTACTTTGCATATGTCAGTCACCACCTTTGAGTGGGCGCTGCGGCATGTCTCCAAAACCCACAGACCCGCTGTATTGAGTTGATCCTGACTCAGGGTTTTTGAGGCTGAAAATCTTTACAAAAGAAGACAACCTCATCTTTAGCTCACGGAGCTCCTGGTGGGTTTGAACTGCTGAACTTGTGGTTGGCACTACAACACTAATGTCCCAGCACCACCAGGTGGCAAGGCAATGACTATGCTCGTTGGCTGTAAGTGAACTAACTGTTTGGAAGGCTTGCTCTGACCTCTGTACCTGAATATACAAGATCGCATGCACATTTCACTCTGATAAGATTTAGCTGAATTTTGCAAGGCCATGGGTTGTTATGGAAAAGACCATGTTTCACACTAAGGAGTCTCTTTATAATCAACCCCATGGAGCCATCAAACAAGGAGATGAATGATCTCCAAGTGGGGTGAAGTGCAAGAGTCACTGGGTCATGTGAAGACCCAGGGAAAAGGGCCCAACAAGCTGTTCCTTTCTGACATCACCAAACTGGAATGCTTCCAAAGAACACACGAACAGAAAAATCAGCACACCATCTTATTTCATCCGTACATTTTAAAAAACCACGAGTTCATTTTAGCTTTCAAATATGATTATTTCTGTACGTGTACAAAAGTACAGTTGTAGTCTTAAGCACTCCAAACCACTTTATTTCAATTACACTGGCTAAAGACTTTTTAAACAAACAAACAAAAAACTTAGCACACAAAGAAGTTTAAAACAGAAATTACAAGACACTATCAAAACACTTATATTTTGTTGTCTAAGTAAGGCTAACTAAGAAGTATTTTGTCTTTCTAAATGAAGAAATGATATATGATATAATTGAAAGACACTATAAAAAGTAGCTGGCTATCTACAATTTTAGGCCAAGGGGCTCCTTATGATTAATTAAATCTGCAAAGATTCTAGCTTTAGTAAAGAGAATTCCAATTTAATGCTTTCTGAATTTATGTGTAGATCAATATTACATGAAGGTGAATGTTGTTTGGTTTGTTTATAAACATGTTTAACAGTAGCAAAGTGATTTAACTGATCGTACATGATCATCATCTCTGTTATTTTAAGGCTTAAGTTGTCATTTGACTTTAATTTTTGGATGGCTTAGAATCAAGATTCATTTCCAGATACAAAATCACTGGGTAAGAACAGAGTTACATTATGTACTATAATAACATTTCAATTTCCCTAAGGGTTCCACGTAACCATGTAAACTACATAACCATAAACACACACACACATCAATTAGCCAATCTACCCATCTATACTTTATTCTGGTCAACTCAACTCAACCCACTGCCATTGATTCGATTCCAACTCACTGAGACTCTATAGGACGGAGTAGAAATGCCCCTATGGGTTCTCATGACTGTAATTCTTTGCAGTATTAGAAAGTGGCTGATGATTTAACTAGCATTTCTTAATATTCATGTGCTAATACTTAAACCAGGAAAATAAAGGTACAAACTTCTTGCATTGCAGAAGAGTAGTATATCAGTTACCTAGTTTTAGCTGATAAAAATACTCTTAAGTTGCTTACACAGCTCACGAGAGTTACAGCCTTAGAAGAAAGCGAGGATTCCCTAAACTACCAAAGCTTTCAGAAACATCTGTTAAAACTCTCTTTATTGACTCAGAAATACAACTGTCTAACTTCATTTCCTAAACCTTCCTATATAGACAGCTTTATATGTACCAATACGAATATTTCACTCCACATGACAGTTACAGCTCTCGTTGTAAACTGAGAAACCGATGTACTGATTTATAAATTAGCCATCTAACAAAACCCAAATTCTTGAATTAAACAAAACAATTAAGAACACAGATGAGAGCTGAGTATAGCAGAAGCCAAACAATGCCGAAAGCTCAATGCCCAAAGAGTAGAAGACATTTTAAACACAAACCACCTAATGATGTAGAGTGCATATACATGTGTGCATGTAGGGAAATATGCCCACCTGAGGACCACCATAAATAAACAACACGGTGGGGTACTTCTTTCCAGGTTGCAGGTCATGAGGCTTGTAGAGCATCCCATACAATGTGAATCCAGTAGCACTTTCGAAAGAGAAAATTTCAGGAGGGGTGTAGTCAGGAAGAGGACCTGCGAGGAGGTAAGAAAGTCTATGAAAGGAGTTCTGAAAGTAGCTCTACAATCAGAGCAAGGAAGAAGAAAACCCACACCCACACACATTAAGTCGTCATCCCCCTTCCAGATGCGAGGCTAAAAATTAAGGGGAAATAGTCACCTTTGAAAGATAAATTGAATATACCCCAGGGGAGTAGACTGACAATACTGTACTTCTTTTGTTCGTATGGTTTTTGCTTTCCTGCTTGTGGCTTGTTTTCCTGTGACTTTGTTTACTTTCTCTTTCTTTTTCTTTTTGGATATATGTTCTGGTTGTTTGGTTACTGATTAGCATATGGCTGCTAATGATGCAGTTATTATAGGGTTTTGAACCTGTCATATTACGACCGCCAAAATAAACCTGAGAGGTACCAACCCCATGGACAAGCAGTTGGAGTGTGGACTCCTACTTAACTCTAGACCCAGTTTAAGAACACTTGGTCCTGCTTGATACTCCCCTTCATCACTGAAGATAAGGGCAATACAGCAAAGTGTGGTGAAGAAGGTACATGTTACTGGGCTATCAATCAGAATTGTGTCTGGGGTCTTAAAGGCTTGTATTCAGACAACTAGCCATCTAAGCAAGGAATCTACTTAGTCCACACAGAAGAAGCACACCAGCTTGTGTGATCCAAAGGTGACAATTACAAAATTTGAACATGGAGAAGGGGAAAATATCACAGCTAAAATTATGAACACCAATTTGTAAAAGGCGATGCAAGACAGTGAGAGCCCACAATCCATCTGCAGAATATTTGGTCAGACGGAGCCACTGGCAAATCTGCTGCAGCCACAGGCAAAATTCTTTAACAGCTTTGCTGTCAGGGAGAGACCACTGTAATCTTGAATATGCTGAGTCGAACTTGATACTTGGCCAGATGACCTCCCTACAGACCCAATTTGAGTTGGTTCTGTGTGCAAGTATCTCTTACTTATCAATGACAGAAATTTCTTCCCTGACTTTTGGAATGTTAATGAGGGTGTTTTCTTTCTTGTTATTTGTATTTTGGTCTTTATATTATTATTTTACACTTACCACCTTATTTTGAATTTGGATATTAGTGGCTCTGTTGTGTTTTCCAGTTTGTGACCCACAGGAGGAGCGGATGCATAGATGCATAGTGACAATAATGGAGACGGGCTGACAGGGGATGCAGAGGTGGGATTGGGTGATAGGGAGGGAAGGGGGATTCCAGGAATGGGAAATGAAGACTGGAATGGAGAGGGAGCACTAGAACTGACTGGGATTGCACAACTCATTTTAAAGGGGATTTAACCATGGGGGAGGGCAGGATGTTCCAAACTGATATGGGTAATGATTGTACAATTCTGTATGGTAATAGCTGTACAATGAATGAACGACTGAAGGGTATGCTGTATAAATTCTATGCCAATAAAACTGTTAAAAAAAGATAAAGAAATCTAATGAACTGTTCCAGAAGCAGGTACAGAGGATGACAGTGAATGGATTCATGAAGCCTAGGAGGTATTTACACCCAAACTACACATTGCTTGGTTTAACCTAACTGATTAAACACAATTTTATCTTCACCAATTTCACTTGCTCACAATGTTCTATGAGCATTTGCTTCACACATAAGCCCAGTCAGAACCTAGTCAGAAAAGTAAGTCATGATCAGTCTTTGGGTCACTAAATGCAGACCTCTACTATGTATCTGAATATAACTGACGATGTTACACTCTAGAGATTATCATTATATTACAAATTCTGCTGTGGACATTAAAACATAGGTATGACCCTAATTACACTAATTTCAGATACTATGAGATGTTGTTGCTGTGTGCTGTCAGGTTGATCCTGACTCACAAGACTCCTATAGGAAGAGCAGAACAGGTGTCCTAGGTTGTAATCTTCATGGGAGATGGTCCAACTAAGCCAGCCACTCCGCCTTTGAACTGCCAACCAAATGCTCAACCCCGGCACCACCAGGGCTCCCTTAGCAAAGGTTCCAAAAAAATAAAACTCACTGCCATGGAGTTGATTCTGCCTCACAGCAACCCTACAGGACAGGGGAGAGCTGCCTCTGTGCACTCCTGACGAGAGCGGGAGGCCTCCCTCTTTCTCTGGGGGAGCAGCTGGTGCCTTGTGAAGTGCTGACCTTTGGATTGGCACCCACCCATAGCCCGCTATGCCTCAAGGCTCCCTGAGCAAACATTAGTGAATGAAGATACTTACCAGGAAGAAAGAAGTTGAGGTAATATGAATTACTAGATACAGCTAATTATGTAAGAAGGTAAACATTTTTTAGAAATGGATAATTTATAGGGCTCCTCTGACTTAGATAGAGCAACTGTCATTTGCTTTTATGAACATGGCCTTGCAGAGGAGTTTAAAAGAGGAAAATAACTATCAACTAGTTATATATTCCCCAAAGCTACAGCTTCCTTGCTCTGATGGTAGTTCTACTAGTTAATTATACTAGTTACATTATATTTAAACTCATCTGTTTATCTGGAAAATCACCTAAATGTGCAAATAACATCAAATTTTCTAATTGCTACCTTGACTGTTGTCTTATTTTATTAAAAAAAAAAAAAAGACCTTTGTGTAGACCTTTCTTAAAGACCTGTGCCTAACCCCATGAGCTAACCCATCATATCCATTAGCTGATAAAACTAGGGGTGGGGGTGGGGGTGGGGAGGACCAATCAGGAGCTGAGCAGCTCGAATCTCAGGAACAGCAATACATGGGAAGTCTCTGTCTGGGAAACGAGCATATATAATACAGGTGTACTGCACTATTGTGCTAATTCTACTTAAGGTCAAGGACAGAGGAATTGAGTACCTGCTGAATCCAAAATGGTGGCCCAGAATTCCTTTGTCTTACAAGTTGTGTCCTCTTCAGTACTCGACAGCTTGTAGAGGGCCACACAGTGTGGGTTTCTCTGGTTACTGTACTTACTGATGAAGAAGTCACAGTGCTGCAGGAGAGAGCAACAATTACTATTTTCCCTCAGGGAAAAGTGAACACAGATGGACTACATGCTGGCACAGCTGCATCATGGGCAGGGGAGTGAGAAGGGTTTGTACATACACATTACTGAAGTTAGGACCAAGCTTTTTAAAGCTTTTCCAAGAGGATTCTCAGAGTTCTACAGAATCAATTTCACCAATTTTCACATCACTCAAAAGAGCACTACCTGAGCAGAGGGATTCTGAAGGACAAATAACCC